GCGTGGGTGGATTCCTGCCTAACATGGTGGAAAACGAGTGACTTAATAACTTTGTTTCAACTTACACAGAGTATGGCGCCACTCATCCCTCAGTCACAGAAACCACACCACGTGATCACGTATTGGCCGGCTCCTGGAGTGATGACTTCTCAGCTCTCTCCGCTTTTAGCTCAGATTGGCCCCTCTAAAAGGAAGAATTCTGAATTGAAAATTGCGTACTTTTCTCTCCCTACCATCAAAATCGTTCAGCTGTAGCGCCCTTTCGGTGCCTAGTTGCCAAGCCATACGAAGGAAGCAGGAGGGCTGGGATACTGCCAGGTTGCCCAAGCCTAGACAGGGGAAGTCAACAGGCAGATGTCGGGTTCGAACCACGGACCTTCCGGACAGTAACTTCGCGCTCTAACCACTTGGCCCATCTCACCCTCTGCCCACCATCAGGTGTATAGTTGCCTCAAGTCTAACACCAGTGCATACTATGCGTGGGATACCGGACACTCTAGCATTCTTCAGAAGCTTTTCGTTTCAATGCGGGACGAACAGACACAACTACCCCAGGACGACAGTCAGGCAACCGTTAGACCTTTTAGGGTATCGTGACCATACACAGTGAATAGAATCACTACTACTGCACTCCGCCTACTACATGTACGCACAAGCCATTGCGCGACAGATTCACACATGCTGGCGTGAATTTGCTGACCAGAAGTTCCGTTTTATGCCTCTCGACTTCTCCTGTGTAGGCTTGGGCAACCTGACAGTATGCCAGCCCTCGTGCTTCCTTCGGCTGGCATGGAAGCTAGGCACCGAAAAGGGGCCATAGCTGAACGACCACATTGTGGTCCTTCGCGTGTCGTGCTAGGCTTTGAATCGATAATTAGCCATGTACTTCATTGAACGTCCGTCATTTCGGATGACTCGCTCGTTTTTAAAGAAGCGCACTTAAAAATCACGGTAAACGTCTCACTTCACCAAACGGTACTTTTTTAGTTTATGGTCGTACTGTGTTCTAATGAAAAATAACGCGAGATGTGGCTTGCAATCGCTGTTCCGTTTGCTGAGCTGGGTGACCGAATTTCCTAGCTCAGCTCAGCGGAGAGAAAAACGACTATCTACGCAAGATGAGGTACAAATACACCCATCCATAACACGACAATATTTAGAAAACCTGATTAGCTCCACTGGTTAAGTGAATAAACAGAAACTAATCACATTACAGCACATCACAATGCAGTAAATTACTGTACCATAAACTATACTATACAATACTATACTATACTATACTGTACTATACTATACTATACTATACTATACTATACTATACTATACTATACTATACTGTACTGTACTGCACTGTACTGCACCGTACTGTACTGTGTGCACTTAATCGATTCAACAAACCTTGCTGTAATGACCAACATTAAGGTTGTACATGGCTGTCATACAGGTGTGCCATTATATTCCAAATAGTACGACTGGGTTTGCTGAGCATTTTCGAGACCGCACCGGAGATGGTTCAATGTAGCTGGTGACCACTCAATGGTTGCGGACAAATTGTTGGGCTGATTTCATTAAACGACTAGGTAACGATAAAAACTGAGTGCCTCGGAAAAATCTACTTACACGTGACAAAAATCCGGTAGGACATTCATGTCTACATACAATGTGATTCAAGACCAAGCATCAGACGATCGAAGAGTATCACGTCCACACTCTACAGTGCGAATGATCGTTTTTCGCTATGTATCTGGTAAAACAGGTTGTATAACAATAGTTGTTTATCACGACTTTCCAGTAAGAATTTACTGGGCATTCTCCCTAGTTTAGAAAACAAGGATCTGTAAGCTGTAGTCTGCAGTTGGTCTTTGTTACACCGGCCCATCCACGTCAAAACGGATGGAATCCCAAACAATGTATGGTAACTACACATGAAGATTCTTTCGAAGAGAAGTCGTTGCAAGTCATCTGCTCAAGGCGGGGGGACTGAGTTCCTCCATTAACTATCGCTGTAAGTTCTACAGCCAGCAGTACATATTTAATGACTTCTCAGAAAGCAGTGATTCGTGTGGAGTTGTTCATGTGCTAGCTTGATCATTTATCACTCTACGCCATCCCGTGACGATTTTAGGTCGCTCCATGCCAAACGGACGTGAGTATGCCCTCAAGTCCACTAGTTTTAATACATTCTCTGGCAATAAGCCACTTCGTCACGGCCGACTTGAATCCAGTCGAGAGCCTGTTTGCAACACAGGATCTCCAGTCAATCCCTCCGGCTCACCAAAACTGACGAGACTTGGAAGAAAAAAATCAAAGGCTCCCTCTCCACCGCTTTCAGGAGCTCCTTTGGCCCAAGAAGATGAAGGTAAGATGCAATTACTTCGTGATAGGTCAAATTTGGTCGTGATTTTTTCTTCTAAATATTTATCGTCATTTTTGTAGTTCACTAGCGAAAGACCTAAGAGGCCGTTTGGTGGTTTTGACTTCGGCTCTGGTGCAGTTGTTTTTTTTATAAAAAACAGTTACTGTTTCAAATTATACCTATCTAATCGGTTTTCATGAAATTCCGTTATGATTCCGTTCATAGGGCAATCTGTTGGCAAGCGCGTACCGTCCCCTCCGAACATGTTTTCAGAACTACGTAAGCACCCACGCTATTTCCGAATAAAATCTAAATACTGCAAGTATCGGACAATATTATAAAAACTGAATGCGATCGGTTCATTACATTGATCTTCCATTGTAAGAAATTTCAAAAGACATTTCACTCACCTGATAAGAAATCAGAAAGGTTCATAGTCACACTACTCTCGTTTGAACGGTCGTATTCCTGTTCTGGCGTAGTTGTTCCGGTGACAAAGGAAGCACTGGACTCGAGTTTTGTTCGTATTAGAGCTCATCAGCAGTTCATATCCAATGACCGTGCCGGGATTTGAACCCCGGACATCTGACATGCGAGGGTTTCAAGCGTGTGTCACGCTACCTGACTGGAGGGTCAATCAATCGTCACAACCAGGACAGTTACTGGGTCGTCATTCAATGAGTCGGGCACACCAATCACATCGTTTAATTGTGGACACGTTCGTCTGTTCAGAGGTGAAAATTCAGATTCGTCTAACGTGCGTTGATGGAGTAGTGGTTACACGCTCGCCTCGCACGTCAGATGTCCGGGGTTCAAATCCCGACACAGCCATTGGATATTCACTGTTGGTGAGCTCTAATAAGAGCGAAAGTCGGGTCCAGTGCTTCCGTTTCGTGTGGACTCATCGGAACAATTACGCCAGAACAGGAATACGGCCGTCCAAACGAGAGAGGTGTGATTATGAACAAAATACCTATCCTGCAAAATCCCAAAATTGAATTCGGTATAGGTCAGAGAATGATGAAGTTCCACTAAGGTACCGGACAACCGCGTCTCGACTCCGAGTTACTCAGTAATGGGAGCCCACCTAAACACGGCACGTGAGCGCGTGCACTCTCACCTCGGTAAAAAAAGATGACCAACCAAATGTTAAAATTCACCTTTTACGCCTTCTCACCTGTCTTCCTCCGTGCCAACGTCATTGTGAACAGTTTTTGTTTCCACTAATAACATCCCTTATGAAACAATAGCTAATTCGTGAAATTAATTCCTTCACATTTCACCCAAGAGTTGTTCCGACAAACCTGTTGGTCATATCCGGGGATAAGACATTCAAGCCTCGATAGACTAGGGACCGTATGCCGAGGTGTTTTACAACATCTGAGTTGTATCTTGCGTATCTATGGACAAGTTTTAAACGCTTATGGGCATAGCTGGATGAGCTATCTCAGCCTCATGCTTATCGATCCAAAAAGTCTTCTAAACGACTTTCGATCTGTCGGCAAATCAATCAGTATTACTTCAAGGCCGAACGTTTTAACCTTTGGCAAAGTTTGTTCCATCTACATGCAGAAAACAGTGGTCAATGGGCTCTCTTCGTATGCCAGTTAGTCAGAACTAGTAGTTGCATCTCGTGTGTCCTTTCTGTAGCAAAACGTTATTTGTTTTGATATTTTGATGTATTTTTTTATTCACAATTTGTTTATCCATCGTATTTCCTTCACGCAATTCATGAGCTGCGGCCATTCATACTTTTAATATGATGTACTGACCGATTCTGATTACGTTACCGGTCATAAATCTTCCAAATATCCGGGAACCTTAGACACACCCAGTTTCCTTAATACAATATGCAAAACACGACTGGGTGCTGAGTAGCCCTCAACGTCGATGAATAATCACTTTCTGTAAGATGCAATGCGTTTCATCCTGTGCACAAGGTTTACAACTCCATTTGATTACTTCTCGTCCTTGATTTCAGCATTTTTTGACTACCCGTCGATGGAGAGTAGAACCATTAGAACTACACCGCACTCGGAGCGTCAACGTCTCCATCGCGTTACCCTTCCCGGACTCGGTGACTTCCAAAGTAGTCATGGCACGCCGGACGACGGTTCCTTGGTCAGCCAAAGACCACCTGTGAAGCCCCCGCGCAAAGCTGTGGTTTTATCAAATACCACACACCACTTTGTATCTCCAAATCGGTCGTATGAGTCACCCCGTCGAAACTATCAGACAACTTCATCCGAAACAAACAATATCATCCGACACAAAAATGTCCCCAGTCCAGGCAGGTAATATTCACACCGCCACTCAGAAGTCCTTCAGTTCCAAAGACTGTCACTCACTGAATAGTCTGTATTTTGGGAGTCCAATTCTCCCAGCCGTGTACATTGATGGTGGTTTCCTTTATTCCAGTTAAAATATGCAGTGTTTTTTCTGGATAGCAAGAATTCGACATGTAGACCTGCCGCACTTATTATCAAATATATTTCAGATCAATACATGCCTACTTTGTTCACTAACGTAATCTGCACGAACACGTAGTCAGACGTACCCCGGAAACTGTTCCTCATTCTTCCAACAATTTCATTCTAGCATTTGACTACTCAATAACTAACCAGTAGTAAAAATACGCAATTCGAGATCAACTGGACACCGATAGGTGCACCACATTCCTTCGGGAAACTTACTCTCAGATTCTCACAGTGTCACAATTAGTACATTAGGGAAGACAGGAGAAAGCTCTTAAAATTCATATATTCATTCATTCATTCATTTCGCAAATCACCGCCAGCACAAATTTTATTGACTCAAAAAAAAGCAATCTTTAACTAGACTTAACACTTAACGCCAAAACAGCAGGTTTATTAGCTTTGAGAGCGAAACGTGTGGTAGCTTTGAACGTAATACACTACTCATGTGGTTTCTCAAGACTCTTCGACAGCGCACGACCAGTTTCACCCTTTTTGGGGATCACCAGATGAGCACGATCCCCTAGTTTCTGCCAACCTTATGTTCTGCTTGAACCCAAATTGCCCGAAATTAGCGAACTACACTCAATTGCAAACAAATTTGGTTTTACGAGAGAACCACCTAGAATCCAGCTGAATCTCTCGTTTATGATGTTTCTAAGCAACTGAATGTGCTGCACCAGGCCACCTCGAATGTCGTACCACCTGAAACAAAAAATTATACAACAAACCTCATGGTCGTGGCGTCAACAATTGCTCACATCTGTCACTGACCGGTATAAATCAATGTCAAGGTCCGCAGATCGGAGCAGAGTGTTGGCCCAGGAGTGTGGGTTGCGGTCGTTCTTTCTGAGACCATTCTACTGGTTCTGATTGGTGGTGCAGTCGCACAAAAATTAAGACAGAACGGGTCAGGGCAGGCTTATCTATACTTTTATGCGTCACTGCCAAGCCTCTGGACTATGGGATATCAAGTCAAAGCCTTTTCAACCCCTAAATTTTGCAACGTTTTTTTTCTCAAATTCATATAAGAATCTCAGGTGTACTGAACTAATTAAATATATTCATTCAGTCGTCGCCCTTACTAAAAATCTGGTCCTGAAAGTTATTACAACGGCAGCTTCAGTACCGTCTATCGTCAAGTTAACCAATAAGGGCTGGGGCTCTGAGGACAAAGGACGGTAAAAATCAGGCGGTCTCTCATTTAGAGTGTACTAAATCCCAGACTCAACGTTTTGCTACTCTATGATTATGACGGTGCTCAAAGTAATGTTCTACAGCCCCTCAAGACTCCCATCCCCTTGTGTATCAGTTCGCCCACGTAGCCAAATGGACTTGTTTTGGCTCACCAACAATGAGAATCACCAGGCCATCCGATAACTTCAACATACTCCCAGTTTTTAGTATCCCATGTCTTATTGGACAGTTGCAGTCTGTCGTTTAGGTATGCCTTTTGCTTTATATACGTTTTTTCTTGAGAAACTTCCTGATGGTTAATTCAAACAAACATTGATATTAAAGGAATGAATAAATGGCACCTGGACGGTATTACGGTAGCTCTACAAGCGGAGAAACTTGTGCAATTGAATATCCATCCATTTCAACTTGAAAAGGGCCATTTTTAGACAAAAATACTGCCTTAGATGAATGTTACCAAATGACCTGATAGCTAGATGAATGTGTTTTGTGAGAATGTATAGAGCCATCGGGTTTGCGATAAGGAGTGAACGGTAATGTTTACAGGAACACCAAACAGATCTTCCGTTTTGTGAAGAAACAGTGCTTCGGTAAGTGATTTGCGGGCCACTGTTATCTACAAGTTATCCACTGCTCAGTATCAGACCATTTAGTGAAATCCGTCACGGAAATATGCTTCTTGCTTTTTAGTTGCTTCTGTTTGTTGAACATATCGATTTTTATGTTCCTTGGTTTTCACTTTTTCAGCTACCCGAGATTGCACGTCAAAGTGGTGTTTTCTATGAAAGCCAGTGAGTAACAAGCTCCTAACCAAAGAGCCAAGGAGGTACTTAATTTTTCTCGTGTGCGCGTGTATCCCGATAGTCAATTCTCAAGTACTAGATGCCCGCATTTCACGAAAAAACGGAGTTCTAATCTCGGCTGAAGAGGAAATCATGAAGTAATCTCGAGCGCAACACAGCAGTAACAAAGTCCCGCGTGGGCCACGTGGCACGGACCGTCTAAATAAGCACGCCACAAGCGCCGTGAGTACATCGTTCAGGTGATCAACGTAGATACCGCTTTGTGATGGTCGGGTCATTAGTTGTTACTTATTCCATTTGCATTTTCTGTGGGAAGATGGTCAAAAACCATTCTGTCAGGTGCGCCACCATATAGCCTACACCAGAAGACAGTCATAAATTTGGCTTTTGTCTCGAATAAATTAGCCAGCACTCCTTCTGAGTTGATGTACCGCAGGATTCGGCTGTTTTTATTGATACTTTAATCCTGGTTTCAACAGAGACCATAGTCGAACCAATCAAAAAAATCCTATTCAAATTTCGATCGCCTATAGAATTCACACATAAGGCTCCGTGATATTCCGCATATCGATTGGTTGTTTGCAAATGCGAATTGCTAGAGCATCCATTAAGGGTCAGCTGTTGGAATATTTTTCTGGAAAGCGGAAGATTTTAGAGTTTTAAATCCCATTGGAAATCAGTCACTTTGTTTTGGTAAACGCAATAAATGGGACGTGCTGTGCCAAGCAGAGAACAAATGAGATAAACAGCTTTCAAGCATTATAAGCGAGAGGTTCAGCTGTCAAAACCAAATCACTATACAAATGAGTTTTATTTCGCTAATTTCGTGTAATTTGCGCGCAAGCGGATCATAAGGTTAACAAATTCTGGGACTGTGCCTACCTGATGAGTCCCAAGTAGAGCAAAACCTGTTGTGGGATGTCGAAGAGTTTTTAGTAACCTTATGAGCAGTATATTATGTTTATATAGCATATTCTGAAATATGAGTTGGCCTGTTTCGGCACATTCGTTTGCTTCAAACGAATCCCAGACGAGAGAGTTAGCTTTATTCTAGCTGTGTTTCCCGTTCAAACCTAAATCGTATGCAAATGGGTATACTTCGTTAGCTTTCAACTTTAATATAGAATGTGCTGCTGTGAGATTCACACATACGGTCATTGAAAACACACTTATAAAACCGAATTTTATGCCGAATATCCAAAGATTTGTAAGCAAAGTTGTCGGAAGTGAAGTAAAACTTATGGTGAAACATTTCTGCTCTGTGGGTAGACTTATCTGAGCAATTTCTCTTCACCGAAAATAGGCTTCATTCGAAGAACCAAAATTGATCCATTGTCCAAATTACCGTGCAATCATGTAGGGCAAACTCGGTCAGTTTAGCTCTGAGGCAGTAGGATCGTAAGGCTAATTAGTTATCACAATAATAAAACGTCACAGTGAATAATGGATATGCAACAATTATTTATGCGACGTGACTTTGTGCAACAAGACGAGGTTACGTGTTCCCAAATATATATGCAGTTGCGCACCTCGGGAATTGAATCTCACAACCGAACACCGTCACAGAATTTTTTTCAGACCTGAGATTGTTCTAAGGAGAATGAATCTGACTGATCACCATACACCCGGAATAAATGAAAAGTCAAGCACTATGCTGCCGAAGGTCAGTTTATGATCATGTGCTTCATCTACATACCGGCTGTTCATGGTCTTGCCAACAGTCCTTGACTGGCAGACACTCAACCGCCATTTGCGGTACGTGTATTCTACAATCAGAAGTTTCTCCGGACAAATTATTCTCGGCGTCGCGGTCACAGACTCCATTCAAACGCACAGCAAGGCAGTGTTTATGTGTGTGTGTGCAATGTGGGACTCACTCTATTTGTTTGTTTAATCTTCTTCATTAAGCCGAAAGCCAAGCTCTTGAACAATGACCACATTTCTGTGGTGACCGAAAAGAGTGCATTCACTCACTGTAATCTATCCGCCCGACTTTAACACGAGATTTTTTCAGCAAAGCTACTGATATTTTGACAAAGTAAACAAATTGCGTTGCTTACCATTTTATATCCAAATCTCTGAATGAGTTCGGAGTCTTTTGAGAACCGCTTAGGGTTTGGCCTGCCGAAAACTTCGTTTTCCTCCTTTTTGAATCGCATGGGACAGCCCGGCAACCTTGAAAATCGGTGCATGAAATGGTGATGTATTACTTGAGCGATTTGAGTAGTCACCAGCATTTACTTACGGAGATGGTCTTTTGTCTACTGTCCGGGAAGAGTGAGTTCACTAATTTAGATATTGAAGAAATGCCAAAGGTTCTGGTGTTATTGTGGGATTTTGTAGAACACACACTCGCATGATTCACGTTTGAACTATCCTATTCCTTGCGCGATCGTCCTGGTGAGTCCACACCAAAAGGAGGAAGCACTGGACTCAAGCTCATCAACAGTGCTTATCCTGGGTTTGAACTCCACACATCTGACATGCGAGGCGAGCGTGTTACCAATACCCAACAATCGCACGCTGGACTCATCCAGATTTTTCCGTCTGAACAGCTGAACCAGACTTGTAAGAATGCGAGGTATTTCCGAGCGGTATAGACAAGAATATATGTTTGGGAGTTAGCCAGGTGCATCGAAAGAAAGGATTCAGACAACGGAAAACATGTGGTTCGGTTACAGAAGGAGATGGCTGAATATTATTAGTATAATTAACCTGAGGAGGAAAATTGTTTTCACAATAAAATCTAAGTCTTCGTCAGATTTCAATTTTGAACTAAAATCCGAACAATCAAAATGAAATAAAATGGTTTTTCTGTTCAGTCGCTCGTGATTCCAAGTTCATATTTCCGCTAGAGGACGCAAACACTAGCAAGTTGGACGGTGTGCGGTTTTATCGAAAGTGACTGGCCCTCATAAGGGTTCACCAGAAATTAGTTGTAATTGTATAAGGCACGTAGTTATCCGAGTTTGTCAACTGCTTTCCTCCCCGCAACCGA